CGCCCACTTTCCTCATGGTACACCTGGGGGTGGCTTGGTGCCCTCTAAGCTCTTCCAGCCGTTCCAATATCCTCATTTATAAAAGGGGGTACATTGGAGGTCTTCTGAGGTCCTTTTCCAGTTTAAATCTATGACCATAGGATCTATGGGCCTCAGTTTCCTTATCTGTAAAATGAGGGGGTTGGGCCAGATGATCTCTAGATCGATGACCCCTGTGAGCCAGTCTGGTCTACCTTGGAGTGGCCCTAATTTTTAGGAAATTTCTTCTGTCCTCGAGCCAAAAGCTGCCTAGATCCGTAATTCTGTGATTCTCCAGCTATTCCTCTAGTGCTGGCCTGGAAGTTCTGGGTTCAAATCCTGATTCTATTATTCACCAGCTGCATGATCATGTACAAGTCACTTGACTTTTCTGACCCTCAGTTTTCTCTTCTACAAAATGGGAGTAATCATAACACCTGTACTGCCTACTTCACAACGTTCTGAGGAAAGGCTCTCTATAAGCCTGAGGACAGTAGAGAGTATGCATTATTCCTATTCTTATTCTAACTCCATCCCTAGCCAGACCCCCAGGTAGTACAGGTAGTCTCAAAAAGACCTAAAGAGTTTATGAAAAGGGGCCAGAGCCAGCCAACCTAGGTTCAGATCTTGACTCTGACATTTATAGGTGCTAAGTGTCCTTGGGAGGTCACCACTTAACTAACCTCTCTGAGTTTCAGTTTCTTTTCCTGCATGGATGATGCCCAGGAGGAAGGAGGCCAGGAAAGACTTTACCTCTCCAGGGTCTGATTCTAGTTCTTCTACTCCTGCAAGGAAGGGATTGGCTTTGCCTTTCTTTGTATATGCCTAGAGCTTAGCACAGTGCCTGGCATACAGTAGGTGCTTGATAAATACTTGTTTTCTAGCTATGTGACTTTGGGCAAGTTACTCATCTTCTCTAGGCCTCAATATTCCCTTCTGCAAAATGAGGGGGTTGCGTGAGATGATCTCTAAGGGGCAGGATCGGCAATAGTTGCCCACCACCCCTCACCTGGTTGCTATGAGACAGGAAGCCCCTGTATACATCCTGGTAGGCAGATGGTGACTCTCCCTTAGACCGGGATCTCCTTGGGAACAAAAGGGGGCACGTTCCTTTCTTTGCATCTTATCTCAGCACCAGGCACATAGTAGGTGCTTAATAAATGCTTGTGATTGCCATCAATTGGTTACAATGTTTAAATGGGCTCTCGGTCTGGAAGAAAGAAGTCACGTAGGGACTGGAGTGAGGAGAGGCCTGGGTCTGACTCCTATTAGCTGTTCTCTGGCAGGCACGTTGCCTGAACTCTCTGAGAGCGCCTCTTCTTTCATCCGCAAACTAGGGATAATGATACATACCGTGGTATCTGCCTCCCAGGGTGCTGGGAGGATCTACGTGTGCAGGGCCTTGCAAACGTCGAGGCACAGGGAGGATGTCAAAATGCTTAGGATTATCCAGAGGAAAGACAATTCCCAGAGCACTGACTTAGTGCTCAGCAGGGAACACTGCCCTTTACTTTCCCACCTCCTGGCCACTACTCACACTGTTTCCTCCACCTGGAATGCCATCCTGGCATCCTCTCTCTGTCTCTTGACATACTATATCCCTCCTCTGAGCCCAGTTCAGACTGATGCCACCAGCTAGCAATGATCTCTCCTCTCACCTCATAATTCTTTGGGCTCCTTTGAAAACAGGAATGGATTGTTGGGGCTGGGAATCCAGGATTGGAGTCCTAAGCAGCTAGGGGGCATGGTGGATAATAGTGTTGGACTTAGAGTCAGAAAGACCTGAGTTCAAATCCTGACTCAGATGCTTACAAGCTGAGTGATTCTGGGCAAGTCACTTAACCTTCTGTGACTCAGTTTCCTCATTTGTAAAATGAGGATGGTAATAATAAAGTACCTAGCTCTCAGAGTTGTGAGGACCAAATGAGGTAATACCTGTAAGGCACTTTGGACATCTTTACCGTGTTATAGAAACAGAGATCTTGTGATGGTGATGTCAGCCACTCTCTAGGCAGATTCACTCACTTCCTCCAGCATGGCGCTCACCAGGACCCTGGGAGGCAGAACACAAAGGGCTGGCCCACTCTGGCAGATGAGGACACGATGGCTCAGAAGGGTGGGTTAATTTGTCCAGAGTCGCACAGACTCTGTAACCCTGTGCTGCCTTGGCACAGCTCCAAGGTCCCTCCAGGGCTCAGGGATGTCTCTGCAGAGAGACTTAGCCTAGTGGTGACTGCCCATGATCGTCACTGAGCACCTGATTTGATATTCCAACAGGGAATATTCAAAGTGTTTCAAAGCCTAGGAAAGGGCTTTTTACAGAATCAGGGAGAGGCTGGGAGGGAAAAGGATGCCCAACTTCAGTTAAAACAAAACAAAACAAAACAAAAAGAACACCATTTTTTTCTTGATTCTCTTTGCTTTTTTGCTTTTTAAATTTTATGTATTTATTTTTCATTTTCAAAACTCACTTTTATAAGATTTTGAGTTCTAAATTTTCCCTCCTTCTTCCTCCCCAAGATGGCGTGTAATCTGATATAGGCTCTACGTGTGCAATCAAATTAAACGCCTTTCCACATTAGTAGTGTTGTAAAGAAGAATCAGAACCAGAAAGAAAAATCACAAGAAAGAAAAAACAAAAAAAAAAGAGAGAGAGTGAATAGTATTCTCTGATCTGCAGTCAGACTCTATAGTTCATTTTCTGAATGAGGATAGCATTTTCCATCATGAGACTTTGGAAGATCATTGCGTTGCTAAGAAGAGTCAAGTCTATCAAAGTTGGTTATCTCACAATGTTGCTGTTACTGTGTATAATATTCGCCTGGTCTGCTCACTTCACTCAGCATCAGTTCATGTAAGTTTTTCCAGGTTTTTCTAAAGTCAGCCTGCTCATCATTTCTTAGGGAACAATAATATTCCATTACATTCACATACCACAACTTGTTCAGCCATTCCCCAATTGATGGACGTGCCCTCAGTTTCCAATTCTTTGCCACCCCAAAAAGAGTTCCTATAAATATTTTTGTACATGTAAGTCCTTTCCCTTTTTCTTCCATCTCTTTGGGATACAGCCCTAGAAGTGCTATTGCTGGATCAAAGGGTATGCACATTTGTATAGCCCTTTAGGCATAGTTCCAAATTACTCTCCAAAATGGTTGGATCAGTTCACAACTCCACCAACAATGCTTTAGTGTTCCAGCTTTCCCACATCTTCTCCAGCATTTATCATTTTCCTGTTTCGTCATGTTGGCCAGTCTGATAAGTGTGATGTGGTACTTCAGAGTCTCTTTCATTTGCACTTACATAATCAATAGTGATTTAGAGCATTTGCTCTTTGCTTTTTACAGCACCTCGTTTCCAAATATGTCTTCTCGTCTCCTTTGCCCCTGCCCCAAGCCTAGTGAGTCATCCTTTGGCTGGTAAGGAAAGATGAGTGACTTTGGCATCTGATGGATCATTCACCATTATACACCCATAGTCCACCACCTCTCCAGTGAGAATGGGACCATCTTGCTTCACTTTTTAGGCTCCCTTTTGTCTCAAGGTAACTAAGATTTGTGCCAGGTTCCTCTGAGAACCAGTGCCCTCTCTGTTCTGGAAATCTGGAAAAATATGGAGAACGCTGAAGTCACTCTTTGGCCAGAGTTGCAAGTTCTGATACAATCAGCCCAGGGTCCCGGCTGAATCCTGCACCAAAGACCAGGTCAAAAAGAAAGCGCCACCCAGGAGAGCCGAGATACTGGTCTGGAGCCTCTGCCACCTTGGCGGCCTGGCACACTGGTGAAAGACCATTAGGGTTCAGGCCCCCAACCCTGCCTCAATGCATCTAGTGTTAGAAGGTTAGCTGAGCACTTCGCAGAAAGCATGGCCTCATGTGGGCTTCGGAACTACCCTGCAAGGTGGAGTCCTAAGGCATTATTATCCCCATTTTACAGATGAGGAACCTGGGGCCCACAGAACTATCCAGGGTCACACAGGAAATAGTGGAGGCAGGATTTAACCCAGGGTTTCTCTCGACTCCACAATAATAATGGGATGTGTGGGTATGGGTGTGTGCACTAGATACAGATTTTCCAGGGGGACCTGGGTTCGAATCCCAGTTGTATCACTTTAGGTCTCTTCAGCTCTCTAGGCCTCAGTATATTGATCTGTAAAACGAGGTAGACCCAGTGACTGCTGTGGTTCCTTTCAGGTCTAGATATAGGGTCCTATGATACTGCAACCTGGGGCCAAATCCTGGCTTTGCCACTTACTTCTGGCATGACTCTGGACAAGTCACTTACCTCTCTGGGCCTCAGTTTCCTGATCTGAAAAACAAGATGACCTTTAAGGTCCATTTGAGTTCTGAGCCTAAGAACTGGGTTCAAAGCCTGGCTCTGCCTCTGACTGCTCATCTCTCTCTGGGCCTAGGCCTCCTCCTCTATAAAACCAGAGGGTTGGATCAGTCCATCTCTAACGTCCCTTCTGTCTCTAAATATTACGCTTTCTTCATTTCTAAACTCTCCTTGGAAAGTTTATAGGCCCATAAATTCAGGACTGGAAGGGAGTCCCAAGGTCATCTACTCCAACCTCCAGCATTTAACTTGCCTGAAGTCACACTCAGGATTCGAACTCAGGTCCTCTGACTTCCAGTCCCATGCTTTTTTGCACTGACCCACCCCACCTCTCGCAGAGAAGGCTTGAAAGAGCCTCTTTATTTTCATTTGTTCAAGGTACATATGACATCACCCCTGCCCCATACACACACACTAACACACTCCTTTAGCCACTGGGGACGAGTTGTGCTGCTGGTGTGCGGGCGTACTACTGGTGCTGCTGTGGCATTCAGTGACTGTTACATTGAAGACAGAAGACTGAAAGTAAACACTCCAAGGCCTAGCAAAAACCGCGTTGGGTGACAGGCAGCCAGGGGCGGGGAGAACTGAGGCTGAAGGTCAGAGAGGCTTCGGGCAGAGATTTCATACTTCTCCGTGGAAGGCACTGGGCTGTGGACACAGGTGTCGTAGCCTTGCCTCACCTGGGTAGGGCAGAGCCACCTCTCTCCAAGGGGCACTGAGGCCCCCCTCCAGCAGGTAAGGGAGTGAGTTTTTGTTTTCTTCCCATAATGGAATGAGAGGCAGCAGGGTTGTAAACAGGCCACCAGGAGGGAAGGTCCGGGGGATCTTGGCAGGATGGGCCCTCGGAAGGACAGACAGGTGACTGCTCTGGATACAGTCTGTGGTGATAACACCATGCTAGGAAACTGGAGATCTGGGTTCCAGCCTTGCCTTTGTTTCACGCTCAAATCACTTCATGTCTGAGAAGTGTGATAGGCTGGCGGGAGCCTTGGATTTGAAGCCAGATGCCCTGCATGTGAATCCTGGCTCCGTTACTTGTGTGTACTTTATGTCAACGCTTCTTAAACTGTGGGTCACAACCCTATATGGGGTGGTGTAACTGAATGTGAAAAATTTGGCAACAGTAAAAGGTTTCTGTATACCTATTTTATATATCTGTATACCTGGGGTCATGTAAAAATTTTTCGGGTGAAAAGGGGTTCGAGTGGAAAAAGTTTAAGAAGCCCTGCTTTATGTCATGTTGGATGAATCCCTTGGTCTCTGGCCCTTCATTTCTTGGTCTATAAAATGAAGGATTTCAAGGAGAGGGGCTCTTGGGTCCCGTCCAATCCCCAAATCTTTCCTTCTTAGGCTCTTCGAAGCATCCCTTTCACTCATTCATATCATCGTGTGTATCAACTGTCAAATGATAGGGTTGAATCAGATGGTGCCTACACCCCCATCTAGATGTGGTCACTCATATGTACTCGTCTTCCTTCTCCCAGTAGAATGTAAGCTCTCTGAGGGCAGAGACTATTTCCTTTTTAGTCTTTGCATCCCCAGTACCTAGTTTGCACCTAGAACACAGGATGCTTATTGAATGATGATCTCTTAACATATATACAAGTCACCTCACCTCTTGGGCCTCAGTTTCCCCCTCTGTAAAGTGGGGATAATGTATATAAAAGGCTCTGTAAACCTTAGAGAGCTGTGTAAATGTGATTAGTTTTATAGATTTGAATCCCCTCTCTTTTCCTACCTGACCCTTGGCGGGCGACTTCCTTTCCTGGGCCTTGGTTTCCACAACTTTAAAATGAAGGGACTGGACTCAGTGACCTCTGGGATTCCTTCCATTTCTAAGCTTATATCCATAATACCACAGAGTACAAAGTACCATCTACAACCAGCTTCCGGGAAAGGCCCCACACCCATTCTTGTCTGAGTCAGCACGGACACGAGGTAGGGGGTAGAATATGTCCACAGCTGGACTGCTTTGCAGTTGCCATGGATGTGAGTGTTTGGATGAACTCCCTCTTGCCTGACACCCTTGATTCAGACTGGGCAGGGCTGTAAATTCACACACACCCCTTTTTCTGGACACCTTGGCACAGACCCAGGAAGTGATACCCTGGGTTGGCCGCCCATACCTTGACTGAATGTGGTGAGTGCTTCCAGGCAGCCAGACCAACCGGGAAGGCATCACTGGCGGTGTTTATTTCAATTTCCTTGGGCTCTTCAAATTCCAAAGCCAATTTCTCTTCTAAAGGACCCTTATTTTTCAGACAAAGGAACTGAATCATCCCAAGGATGTGAAGTGATTTGGCCTAGGTCAATAGGTAGGAAGCGTCAAAGAAGAGATTTGGAGTTCAAATCTGCCTTTCTCTTTCTGCCAGATCCCAGGCATATTGGAGGCATTATTCCTCAATTTTTACAAATCAATGTTAAGTCTGGGGGATTGTGGGTCTCCACATGGTCCATGACCACACCCAGGCTTTGGAGCAATTTATCAGTTGAAATCTGAAGGCTAATTTGTGGTCTCTTTGTAGTATGGGAATTTATTTTCTCTTAGATCATGAAAGATAATGAGTTTCTTGTGTATGATTCTGGCCAACAGGTCACATGTTTCTGGGTTGTTAGTAGGTTAGCAGCCTGTCATGATGTGTTGTCCAGTAACAACCACTTCCTTCTGTCACTTACCTTAATCACTAAGTCTGGGCTCCTTAAGACTCACCTTTCTGTAATTTCTGGTGACCATAATTTGGCCCCCAATTACCCTCATCAAGCCCTCCTTTTTCACAAACAAGTTTGGATGACTCAGTCATTTGGGCCACTTCTTTCTCAGCATATCGTCAGTGGAATTCAGTAGGCTGTTGGCCACGGAGGGCCTTTTGATTCTGACATCCTAGCTGTTCCGTGGGCAGCCCTTTTGGGTCCCATTCAACCAATCAATGGCATGTGCCAACTCTCTGCCCTGGCAGTCACTTGTGACGGGATGCCTGATTGTTCCAAAAGTGTTTCTGGAGGTTTTTCACCTTTTTCCTGCACTCAGAAAACATCTAACCAGTCCCTTCCTCCTTTTGGATGAGGAATCTCTTTCTAGAGCTACGTTAGGGAAATGAATCCCATATTTTGCTAATATTATGTAGGATTTTGTTAGGACCCTTTCCTGTTATGGACCATTTTACAGTTTCAGGGTATACATCAAGACTTCTATGACTGGGCAGGCGTTAATTGCTTTCAACGTGTTCTTTTGATTCCAGGATACTAGGAAGTCTTACTTTATCCAACCATAGCTGAATTCTTATTCTTCTGGCTAAAATGATTATTAGTAGATAGGGGCTGGAGCCAGGATTTCATCCTGTTCATTTCATGGGAGAGGCAGCCACCAAGGGAGGAGACTCCCTCTACCAATGGAGGTCAGCATTTTCTTGGCCACTGTAGCCTGAAGGTGTTGTCTAGAGTCCTTTGAGGGTGAGTGACTTGCCCAGGCTCACTTGGTCAGGCTGCTTAAGAGGTATTTGAACCCAGGGTCCATGCACACTGCTGCTCACTATTGTCGTCCTTATGAGAAGATGTGAGGGGCAAACTTAGGAAGTCTGGAGCCCGGCTGGAAGGGCTTTGAATTCCACACCACGGAGTTGATTTTCTTAGGCAGACCAGGGATGCCTGTTAAAATTTCCTGGGCTGGGCAATGGGATTTCTGGGAGATCGTTAATTGGCTGCTTTGTGCACAGTGAATTAGAGGGGAGAATGGCTAAAGGCAACGAGCCCCTCTAGGGGTTAATTGAGCCTGATGTAAAGGAAAGAGTACTACCAAGGTAGTCAAAAGACCTGGGTTTGAATCCCAGCTCTGCAACTTACTGGCTATGTGACTTTAGGAAGTCATTTCCCCTTCTCTGGGCCTTCATATCCTTATAAAATTAAAGGGATGAGATAGCTAGGTGGTGCAGTGGATGGAGGGCCGGGCCTGGAGACCTGAGTTCAAATCTAGCCTTAGACACTTACTAGTTGTGTTCCCCTGGCCAAACCCTGTTTGCCTCAGTTTACTTGTCCAAAAAATCAGGATAATAATAGCACCTACTTCCCAAGATTGTTGTGAGGATCAAATGTGTTAATAATCGTAAAGTGCTTAGCACAGGGCCTGGCACATAGTAAGTGGTATATAAATGCCAATTATTATTATTGTATCAAGGCCGAGGAGGAATGTTTTGTGCCTACTTGCTCCTAACCTTGGAGTGGGCTGGGTTGTTCTGAAGCTTTCTGGTCTCCCCCGGGTTAGCAGAGGACAGGCAGCCTCCTAGCCTAAAGCTGGGGTCTGAGGAAGGCCAGTTAGACTGGGGGCAAAGGCCTTGGTTTGGGGGACTTGGGCTGATCTGAGGAATGAGAGGATGAAGGTACTGAATCAGCAGGGGGAAAAGAGGGAAGGCAAAGTGGGGGACACCCAGGGACATGAACTAGGAGTTAAAGGACCAGGGAGGCGCAAGGGGAAGCTAAACAGGATGGCAGGTCTAGCTGTGTGGCTTTGAACAAATGTCTTCACCTCTCTGTGCCTCACTCTCCTCATCTGTAAAATGGGAGTAAAAAGCCCTGCCCTGCTGGACTCTCTGGGTCCTTGTCAGATGAGCTAATTAGTGGTGGCAGACGGGCTTTCCAAACTAGAGAAACGCCCCAGGGGGACGGTTCCTGGGGTTATCACCATCACCATCATTTTCCAGGGAGAACAACCAAAGAGCAGACGCCAAGGGAAGGGCCTGGAAGGCAGTCCCTGAGGCTCCGTGACTTTGAATGGGTGGAGGGGCAGGGAGGGATGAGATGGCTTGACTGCTGGTTAACAGAATCCAGGAGCGTTTTCTAAGGCAGCTGACCTCTTATTAGAGATAACAGTTTCAAGCTAGTGGGGGCCTTTGTGATTCCATCTGATGAGTGCAGAGCCCTAAGAGGAATTCGGGCGCTTGCACCAGTGGTTGGGGGTGGGGAGGGAGGAGAGGAGACACCTTTGGGAGAGACCTTCGGGCCCCTGCTGGGGAAGCCCTCATGGGGAGGGAGCAGGATGGGCCTGGCTGGGAGGGCTCCTCTGAGGGAAATCCTTGGCACCCCCTCTCTGGTGCATGCAGACCTTCACCTTTACAGCCCTGCCCAACCGCCAAAGCCTGCCTCCTCCCCTCCCATCCAGGGCATCCCCTCCCTCCCTGGGAGACGGCAAGATGGAAAGGGAGTGGGGGTCACTGGAGGAAAGGACAGTGGGGACCATCCCCCTAAACCCCACTGCTCTGCACACACGATGCTCTGTCTCTGGTCTCCTGTCTTTGCCTGCCATGCTCTCCCTCCCCACTTCTTCCTCAAGAAATGCCTGGTTTCCTTTAAGGTGGAATGCCACCTTCTGAGGAGGGTTTTCTGATCCCCCTCAGCCACCAGGGCCTTCCCTGGGCTCAGGTCCTTTCTGTCTGCCCTCTGTGTACTTCACATATGACCTATTTCTGTAGATATCACCAGAGCAGAGACTCTGAGAGGTGAGAAGGACCTTTGCTGCCAGCCAGCCTGGCCCCCACACAAAAAGACCATAACCCCGTAACAAATAACGTTCCTATATTAAGCTACCACGTTGTCTCCCCCATTGGAATAGAAGCTCCTTGAGGGCAGGCCTGTCTTTGCTGTTCTTTATAATCCCAGCACTTAGCGGGTGCCAGGAACCTAGTAAGGGCTTAATGATGGTTATTTGGTCAATTTAGTCAGGGGCACAGAGAGAATGTGTGACA